TGCAGAATCTGCTTCACTGGACCTGTCAGCTTTAAGGAGGCAGCTGAGGAGAGGGAGCAGAGGACCAAGATCAGCAGCACCACAGCTAAGCAGAACAATAGCCACGACGGTGACGTCAAGGAGCTCGGGTAGGTAGAAAACAAAGGATAAAAAGGCGGGAGGTAAGGTGACCAAGCGGTCTGAACTGTTACCATTGATCTCATGAACCTTCCCCAAGGTCAGGTTCCACTTGCTGATCACATTCTGCCGTTCCACCACGTAGATATCATGATACAACTCCTCATGCGCTCCCCCACAGAGTAGACAGGTGAGAGCCAGGTAGTGCACTTTCAGCTTCCGTCCGCTGCCAAGCGGGTCCGCAATGACTGGGATCCACTTGTGCTGGTCCTCTGGATGCTGCAGCACAAGCCCCTTGACCTTATCCGTGTCAAAACCCTTCAGCGGATCCACCACTCGATGAAAAGCCAGGCCGTCCATGTACGCTGTCTACTTCCTCTTGCGCAGCTTCACCTTGATCAGGACCGCACGCAGCATCTCCGGCGTGATGGACGCCGGTACACTCTTGAACAGAACCTCAATCGCTGACTTGTTCCTGGAACGCTCCAGCAGAAACTCCTTGCACTCGGGAAACTGCCAGCCAACCTTGAGAGATTTCCCGTCCACGCAGGTGTGATCAATTTCCTGCAACTTCCTGATATACTCCGCATCAGCGGGGTCATCAAACGTGACTTGCAGCCGACCAAAACGGAGAGACGAGAGGTACGTCGGGAACAGCTCCTGAAACTTGGTCGTCACCAGAACATCCCTTGACAGATCCTTCTTCCGCATCATCATGAGCGACTTGATCGTCTCCTTGGCACGCGGGAACTCCTTAACATGACTGAACGGCACAAGCAAAGTGAGTGAAGCCTTAGCCATTGCAGCAATCTCATTAAGCATGTCCAACTCCGGAGCCTCATCAAAGTCGTCGCTAAAGTACCCATCTTCTTCCTCCGGATCCCTGCTCAGCAACCCTTCATCCTGACCAGCGGACGCATCCTTGCGTGGAGCATCCACCCCACACGGAGTGACCGAAGCCGGGACCGAGGCCGGCACTGACGGCGGAATAACCGGATCTGCCTGCAAAGCCGGCGTTGTCGGCGGAATAACCAACTCTATGCCTTCATGAAGCTCTGAGCCCTCCGACTCAGCAGGTGAAACCGCTACCGGCACCTCAGGTGAATGGGCCATCAGGTGAAAGGGCCTTTGCCCGTGATTGGTGGCGAATGGACGCAGGTTCGGGGGTGGGCACAGTCAATTTTCTGGGACTTGCTGGACACCTGGTGTATCTTGTTACAAAGTGCCCATTTTTGTGCGACCCATTAGCCCGTGGAGAAGCATGCGAAATTGCGAATTCGACAGTGGCCCCCGCGACTCGGCGAAGTGGTGGGCGTACGGTGGACATCATCTGTACAATATGTAGGACATGAGAAATTTTTTCAATTCGATGGCATCAATTTGGCATGGCAAGTCAATGCAGTGTAAAACGTGAACTAAGGGCCTAAAATCGCATACAAACCTACGCATTATAATATAGGTTCCCCAAACCTACCACCCAGTGGCAACAATTCCTAGTGCTCGAACAACAGCACGATAATCAAATTCTGTGGGATGCTTATTGAAAGCTTCTACATGGCGGTAGCGTGAGTCATCGGTGTAGAAAGAGTGCAGATCTTTTAAAAGAGTCCTAGCCTGTAACAATGGGGGTGGGGGAAGAGGAGGGGGGGGGGGGGGGGATAGAGAGTGGGGAGAGCAATAAGACGGATTTAGGAAGGGTGAAAGGACACATCCAAATTCCATGCACCGGTCTTCAAAATTCACACGTACCAAAGATTTTATCTCCATTTCTTACACAACTACTTGCCTCCACTTTCCAACACCCAGTAGATGTTCACCTCATCGTCGCTGAGCTTGTTTGGCAGAACCACATCTCCCCGGACCAGAACCAACCCCTTCTCTGCTGCTAGGTCAGTGTAGTGGGTGACTGTAAAGAAGGGCGATGCAGAGGGGCCTCGCACTTTATAGTCCTCTAGGCCAGTGAAGAGGAGGTGGGGCATCTGAGCTGTTCTTGTAACGGGGGGAATGTGGGAGGGGAGAAAAGGGACTTGTGATGAGTGTGAGTGTAACGAATGAAGGGTGCAGCAGAAGGGCCTCGTGCTTTTTAGTCCTCCAGACCAGACGCGTGAAGGGGAGGTGGTACACCTACGCTGTTCCTATAAGGAGGGAGACTTTGGGGAAACATACAAACTTCGAGCAAGTTTGTGACAGTAAAGAACAGCCCTGCGAAGAGGCCAAGGGACAAAGCGTATGTGGTGTACGTATTGGCAAGAATGGAAGACACTCTGTACATATGGTGTATGGTGTATGTTTTGGTAAGGGGGGAGAGAATCTCCAAGGAATAGAAAGGAAGGAAGGGATTTGTACCTTGTGCGAGCATGGTGACAAACCCGTTGGTCCTCGCCATTGGAAGCACAAACATGGGACTGTGGCATTGGGCCGAGGGGAGGAGTTGGGGGAGGACAGGACAGTGGGACAGTGGGAACAAATGCAAAATCAATGGTGAAAAAAAGATTGTACTGGTAACTGGGGGAGAGGTTAATAGCGTGAGGAATGTTTGTGACGACATGAGAGCAATTCAGAACCACGCACAACTGCATGCAGGCACATGCATGCAGGTCCATGGCATGCAGGTCCATGGCATGCGGGTCCATGGCATGTGGGTCCATGGCATGCGGGTCCATGGCATGCGGGTCCATGGCATGCGGGTCCATGGCATGCGGGTCCATGGCATGCGGGTCCATGGCATGCGGGTCCATGGCATGCGGGTCCATGGCATGCGGGTCCATGGCATGTGGGTCCATGGCATGCGGGTCCATGGCATGCGGGTCCATGGCATGCATGCGGGAATCAACTAAATCACAGTCCCACTCACCACACTTTTGTTCTGTGCTGCAGTGTCTCGAAGGCAGCAGAAGGAATCACCGTGCTCACATGCATGTGCAGGCACGCACACACCCGCCTATCCACCCCACCCCTTCCCCCTTCATAGTCTCACTCACCACACTTTTGCTCCGTTCTGCAGAGTCTCAAAGGCAGCAGCAGGAACCACCATGCTCACCTGCCTATCCACCCGTTCCCCGTCGCCTCACCCTTCATAGTCCCACTCACCACACTTTCGCTCTGTGCTGCAATGTTTCAGCGGCAGCAGCAGCAGCGGCAGCAGCAGGAGGAATCAGATGCACACCCACCTATCCACCCTTTACCCATCCCCACGCCCTTTTTTGTCCCACTCACCACACTTTCGCTCTGTGCTGCAGAGTCTCAAAGGCAGCAGCAGGAATCACCGTGCTCACATGCGTCCGACCCAAGTGGTGCTGCACACATAGGAGGGAAGTGGGGGTTGTGATGCAGCATCAAATGCTTGTTGTATTAGCAGAACATGCATGTGATCAAGCAGAAAATGCTTCCTCAGGACTCAAATGGCCAAACATGGTTCCACTTTTCGTTCTACGTAGTTCCCAATCGCCTGGGCGTGCTTCCTCGCAGCGCCTCCACCGGCATGATCTAAGAGGGAGTTCAACGCAGATCAACGGCCTACATTGTTCCACGTGGCAGTGATCTCCTCGGGCGTTGAAGCTCGCAGCGCCTCCACTGACATGATCTCCTCCAGCCGCTTCGGCAGCGGCATGGAGAACCCCGACGCAAACTGCGACCCGCGCGTCTGAGTCAACCGAGTCAACGGAGTCAACGGCAGGACCGCGGCCTCGGTTAATGGAGCTAACGAGGACAAACGCGGCATCGAGATCCCCGACGCGAACTGCGACCCGCGCGTCTGAGTCAACTGAGTCAACGGAGTGAACGGGGCCGATCGACTCGAGGGCAGGATCGCGGCCGTGATTACCGGAGATGCTAGTAACGCGGACGAGCACGGGCGGGCTGCGGAAGCCAGCCGTACCGTGTCGCCCGCCAGATCTGCTGCTGACGGCGCCAAGCGCGCCAAGCGAGGTGTAGTAACGGAAGTCCCTTCAGAAGAAAGTCCTGCGGCGACGATGTGATAGCGGTAGGCATGATCGCAGCGATAGGCGTCGCTGGGATAGCGATCACCACCGGATCGCGAGCGGTGTTGCGCGCGCGCGGCGCAGCAGCGAGCCGCTGATGCCACCCGCCTAGCGGCGCGTGAGGCGACCTGTGGTGGGATCATGACGCCGGGTCAACGCGCGTGACCGATGGCTTGGGACTACGCTTGGTGCTAGGCTTGGTACTACGTTTGGTGCTAGGCTTGGTGCTAGGCTTGGTGCTAGGCTTGGTGCCAGGCTTGGTGCTACGCTTGGTGCTACGCTTGGTGCTAGGCGTGTTCGCGTGGGACTAGCTGCTGATCGACTCGACGCAGAGCAGCTGAGTCACCGAGGCTACGCTTTGGCGGAGGGAAGAGATGAGAACGTACGCGCGGAACCAGCAAGGCGACAGGAATAGCGGTGAGTTCGAGTAATCTGTACTTTTTACGGTGGCGTGGCGTGAGATGCGGCGAGTGTGTGGCAAAATCCATGTGACCCAATATTTGAGTTCTCCTACACAGGTTCGTGAAACAACCGTACAGCGGGGAAAGTCTAACTGCAGGCTGTTGTCGAAGCAGCCAATAGAGAGGTTTTGTGGTGTCAGATGAACTTCCCCAACTCGTTTCCCGCGTTTTCGCCAATCCCTGTCCAGTGCACATTCGAGTCTGCTTTGGAACAGTGGGTGTTGTCAATTTAGACATTTTTCCTTAAAGCGAGGATCTCGAAAACCCCCGAACTCAAAAACTTAGGTTTTGATCCCGGGGCATTTTGGCTGGGGTTTCGAGATCTTCGCTTTAAGAGTGGCCTATATTTTACAGAACGAAGTCGTCAGTGCCCAGTTTGCTAAAGTTTCCCGCACCAAAATCGACCGCAGGCAGATTCAACTTCCTTTCTAATCAGTCCTAACTTCTACCAGGCATATCTGCTTCACGTGAATCTCACTACAACTGTACTGGATCGCCAGGATTGTCTGCCGCTTAGACACTTGTTACTTCTTCGCGACGATATCTCGGGACGAATTCTAGCCCATATGGTCGACATCCTTTGCGCTCATAGGTTATCGACTGCTCGCTAGGGAGAGGTTGTCGCATTTATGCAAGCAACGTCTCTGACGGTTCAGGATTTGAAGTCAGGGGTCACTCTCTCACGTAGGAATTTCATCCGTACCTACACGAATCCCACATAGATTTATACGTAAATCCGTACACAACGTTTCGCCATTAGCCTGGATTCTCGTTGCAGCCAAGATGGTGCTCATAGCCGCGGTTCGTGATTATGTAAACAAGATGCTTAACGACGTCAGCGGCCCGAAAGTTCTGATTCTCGACGCGGAAACGGTAGGTGAGCAGGACCGAATCAACTCCACCATCGTTTGTCCGGCTGCTATCAATCTATTCAAGTTCGTCAGGAAGAGTTTCATGCATTTTCGACGCAAGCCCTGATTACAACAACCTCTTTCACACCTTTCCCTACTGCTTCTCTCCCCTTCCCCTTTCTTCTCCTTCCCTCTTCTCCGTCCCGGTCCCCTTCACCATCCCCGTCCCCCTTCTCCTGCGATCCTGACCGTCCGTTCGCAGCTGCCAATCGTGAGCCTCGTGCTGACGCAATCCGAGGTTCTCCACCGAGACGTGGTGCTTGTAGAGAAGGTTGACTCTAAAGGGGGAGGGAGCGGCGGCAGCAGCAGCGGCGGCGGTAGGGGCGAGTCAGGGGGTAGCGGTGCAGAGCCTATGCCACATCTTAAAGCCGTTTGCTTTCTGAGGCCGACGGGAGAGAATGTGAACCACTTAAAGCGGCACCTTAGGAATCCCCGATTCGGGGAGTACCACCTGTGTGAGTATAGCGAGGGGACAGGGAGCAGTGGGATCAAAATGCATCGGTGGTTTTGTCAACCCTCCATTCCCCTTCTTCTTTACTCCTGGCTTTTTCTAGGCTCTGCCCCGCCTTGGTTCCTTGAACGTGGATACCTTTCAGTTGTGGTTCTTCTTTTTAAAGAACTCACAGGCTACGTCGTGCATGCAGTTTTCTGATCCTTCTAGATCGCTTGTCCCTCACAACACCCTTGTTCCCCGTTCCGTTTCTCCCCCTTTTCCCCCTCCTCCCCCATTTCTTCCCCTTTTCCCCCTCCTCCCCCATTTCTCCCCCTTTTCCCCCTCCTTCCCCATTTCTCCCCCTTTTCCCCCTCCTCCCCCATTTCTCCCCCTTTTCCCCCTCCTTCCCCTCTTCCCCCAGTCTTTTCCAACATCCTGAACAGCACGCTCATCCACGTTCTGGCTGATGCTGACGCCCAGGAAGCAGTGGTGCAAGTGCAGGTGAGGGGAAAGCAGAGGGGGGCAAGTGCAGGTGAGCGAGAAGCAGAGGGGGGCAATTTCAGATGAGTGAGAAGCAGAGGGGGGCAAGTGCAGGTGAGTGAGAAGCAGAGGGGGGGCAAGTGCAGGAGGGAAGCCGAAGTGCAATCCAGTGAGTCAACCAATGCCAGTACTTCACCTCCCTCTCTGCCCCCTCCCCCCCCCTTCCCGACCTGACCCCCCATCTTCCTCTCAGGAGTACTACGCGGATTTCTATGCGCTGGACGCCTTTCACTTCACCCTACACGTACCCCTCAACGTCTACTCCTACGTCTCCGCTACAGTCGACCTCAACAACACGCAGAGGGTGGCCGAGCGCTCAGTGGATGCTCTCCTGGCGCTCTGCCTGAGCCTCAAGAAGCGCCCGACTATTCGGTTTCAACGAGGGTCTGAGCTGGCGAGGAGGGTGGCGCATGAAACAGGGGTGAGTGAAGGAGAGAGAAGGTAGAGTCTTCGTTCGTCTGTGTGGCAGAGCGCTCAGTGGACGCTCTCCTGGCACTGTGCCTCAGCCTCAATAAGCGCCCGTCTATTCGTGTGTTTGAAAGAGTTGGCGCGCTACTACTATTCATTCGAGTCTTTTCCGCGCTGTCCCTTCAGAACTCATGTGCCCTCTGTCCCTGCACGTGCGTTCCCCCTCTGACGCACGCCCCCTTCTCCCCCCACCGCCCACAGCGCATCATGTACCAAGGCCAAGAAACCTCTCTTGGTGACTTTTGAGTCGAATCAAAAGTCTTCTCCCCCCACCGCCCCCAGCGCATCATGTACCAGGGCCGAGAAACCTCTCTTGAATTTCAGGCGCACACACGCCCTGCCTCTGCTGCTGCCCTTACTCCTCCCTTAGTGCATTCCCCTCCCTACGCCTCCCTTTCCTCCCCCTTCCGTCCCCCTCTCCTCCCCCCTCTACACCCCTCTACACCCCCCTACACCCCCCTTTCCTCCCCCCCTCGTCCCCCCCCCCCCCCTACACCCCTCTTTCCTTTCCCCTCCCTCCCCCCTTTCCTACCCCCCCCCTGCACCCCCTACTCCCCCCTGCACCCCCTACTCCCCCTGCACCCCCTACTCCCCCCTGCACCCCCTATCCTCCCCCGTCCGTCCCCTGTATGTGCACTGTCGTCCTCCCAGCGCATCATGTACGAGGCAGAGAAGCCCCTGTTTGACTTCAGGCGCACGGACGCCCTGCCTCTGCTGCTGGTGGTGGACAGAAGGGACGACCCGGTTACCCCGTTACTCATGCAATGGACGTATCAGGTATGCTTAGCATTTGACTACCACTTGAGTAACCAGGTAGGTATTCCGTTACTCCCTCAGTGGACGTACCAGGGATGCAATGCTTCGCATGTGCACTACAAGTTGACTCGGCTTGACTTCACAAACACACTGCCTCTGCTGCTGGTAGTGGGAAGAAGAGACGACCCGGTTACCCCGTTACGTAACCAGTGGACGTACCAGGTATGCCCAGCGGTTAACTATGAGTTGATAGAGAAATCACCTGGCAGCATGGCCTGAGAAACCACCTGGCAGCATGGCCGGAGAAACCACCTGGCAGCATGGCCGGAGAAACCACCTGGCAGCATGGCCTGAGAAACCACCTGGCAGCATGGCCTGAGAAACCACCTGGCAGCATGGCCTGAGAAACCACCTGGCAGCATGGCCTGAGAAACCACCTGGCAGCATGGCCTGAGAAACCACCTGGCAGCATGGCCGGAGAAACCACCTGGCAGCATGGCCGGAGAAACCACCTGGCAGCATGGCCTGAGAAACCACCTGGCAGCATGGCCTGAGAAACCACCTGGCAGCATGGCCTGAGAAACCACCTGGCAGCATGGCCTGAGAAACCACCTGGCAGCATGGCCTGAGAAACCACCTGGCAGCATGGCCGGAGAAACCACCTGGCAGCATGGCCTGAGAAACCACCTGGCAGCATGGCCTGAGAAACCACCTGGCAGCATGGCCTGAGAAACCACCTGGCAGCATGGCCTGAGAAACCACCTGGCAGCATGGCCTGAGAAACCACCTGGCAGCATGGCCTGAGAAACCACCTGGCAGCATGGCCTGAGAAACCACCTGGCAGCATGGCCGGAGAAACCACCTGGCAGCATGGCCGGAGAAACCACCTGGCAGCATGGCCTGAGAAACCACCTGGCAGCATGGCCTGAGAAACCACCTGGCAGCATGGCCGGAGAAACCACCTGGCAGCATGGCCTGAGAAACCACCTGGCAGCATGGCCTGAGAAGCCACCTGGCAGCATGGCCTGAGAAACCAGCCTACCCTCTTCGTCTCACCCATGCCATCCCCTTGTCCCCCCACTCTCCCCCCCCCCCTCCCCTCCCACCAGGCCATGGTGCACGAGCTGATCGGCATCAAGGACAACAAGGTGGACCTGAGCCACGTAGCCAGGTGAAGCAACAGAACCCTCTCATTCCCTCTGCTCCCCACTGCCCTCCCACCTCCCTCTAGGCCATGGTGCACGAGCTGATAGGCATCACGGACAATGAGGTGGACCTGAGCCACGTGCCAAACATCAGTGCGGACCAGAGGGAGGTGGTGCTGGCAGCAGGGGAGGACTAGCTTAACTGGCGCCGCATGTGTTTAACCCTTCCCGTCCTCCTCTTCCGCCTTCCTTTGGCCCGCTCCCCTGTCCCTAGGCCATGGTGCACGAGTTGATCGGCATCAAGGACAACAAGGTGGACCTGAGCCACGTGCCAAACATAAGCCCAGACCAGAGGGAGGTGGTGCTGGCAGCAGGGGAGGACGAGTTTTTCCGGCGCCACATGAACGACAACTTTGGGGATGTGGGCAATGCGGTGGCCAAGCTGGTGAACGACCTGCAGAGCAAGGACAGGCGGAACAAGGGCATCCAGACGCTAGGTGGGTGTTGATTGTAGCACAGCGAAGCCCAAGGTACCCTCTCAGTTGACTCTGGCCGCCACCTGCGTGACAACTCTGGCGACGAGGGCAATGAGGTGGCGAAGCTGGTGAACGGCCTTCAGAGCAAGGACTGCTGCAACAAGGGCATTCAGACGCTAGGTGGGTCTTCGTTGTAGTGTAGTAGAGCCAGTGTAGGGCAGCTGCTGCCAGTGCTGCTGCTGCCGCCGCGCCGCCACCGCCGCCGCCGATGCATGCTTCTCTGTCCTGAGCCGAATAGTTCCTGCTTGTCTCCTTCTTCCCCCCTCCTCACCCCCCCACATCCCAGACGACATGGCGGCTGTGCTTGAATCGTACCCCGAGTACCGCCGCCAGGCGGGCAACGTGGCAAAGCACGTGGCGATTATGACAGAGCTGCAGAGAGTGGTGGGAGGGAGGAAGCTGATGGCGGTTTCTGAGGTGGAGCAGGAACTAGCGTGCACGTCGGGGCAGACTGCTGCTTTTGAGGTACGCATGTAGGGTGATACAGGGGGTGCTGAGGCACACTGCAGCATTCGAGGTATGGGACAGAGCGTGCTGTAAGGCGAGCTGCAGAGGGTGGTGGGGGGAGGAAGCTGATGGCGGTGTCTGAGGTGGAGCAAGAACTAGCGTGCACGTCAGGGCAGACTGCTGCTTTTGCGGTGAGAGACGCGAGAGCGCATTTCGAGGGGCCTCAAAAATAGCGACTTTTGAGGCGCCTAAAAAATAGCGACTTTTGAGGCGCCTCAGAAATAGTGTGCACGTCGGGGCAGACTGCGGCTTTTGAGGTGAGTCATGCAGCGAGTGCGCATTTCCAGGTTGTTTGGGGGCAGGAAGCTCAACCTTCCCCAGCCCCTCTCCCCTCCACCCCCGCTCTCTTCCCCCTCCCCCTCTCAACTCTTCTCCCCACGACCAGGCAGTGGCAGCCAAACTATCTGCTCAGGACATTGCTGACGTGGACAAACTGCGGCTGATGATGCTGAATGCGCTACACTACGAGCAGGACAGCCCGCGGACCACGTCCTTTCATTCTCTTTCGTGTGTTTGAGAATTCTCAAAAACAGCCCGCAGACCACGTCCTTTCATTCTCTTTCGTGTGTTTGAGAATTCTCAAAAACAGCCCGCGACCACGTCCTTTCATTCTCTTTCGTGTGTTTGAGAACTCTCAAAAACAGCCTGCGGGCCACGTCCTTTCATTCTCTTTCGTTTGTTTGAGAATTCTCAAAAACAGCCCGCGGACCACGTCCTTTCATTCGCTTTCGTGTGTTTGAGAATTCTGAAAAACAGCCCGCGGACCACGTCCTTTCATTCTCTTTCGTGTGTTTGAGAATTCTGAAAAACAGCCGGCGGACCACGTCCTTTCATTCTCTTTCGTGTGTCGTATGAACCTTGCAGGCACTTGCAGGAAAGTCCAAGGCACTTGTAGGCCGAGACACCTGCAGCCTCCCCACACTCCCACTACCTTCTCATCCCTCCTTCCCCCCTTCCCCTCTCCCCCCTCCCCTTTCCCCCTCCGCTCCTCACATTCGTGTTTTCCAACCCCAGGCAGTAGCAGCCAAGGTCTCATCCCACGATATTGCTGACGTGGACAAGCTGCGGCTGGTGATGCTGTACGCTCTGCGCTACGAGCAGGACGCCTTTTGCGCCCTCCCACTGCTTTCCTTCCCTCCCGTTCACCCACTGCGTCTCTCCTCACCCCCCAGGCAGTGGCAGCCAAGCTGGCATCTCAAGTTATTGCTGACATGGACAAGCTGCGGCTGATGATGCTGTATGCCCTGCGCTACGAGCAGGACAGCTCCTGGCACATTCGTTGACCTCCTTCCCCCTCTCCCTCGTCCCTTCCGTGCGTCCTCTCCTTGCTTCCCTCCCTCGCTTCCCTTTCTCCAACGACCAGGCAGTAGCAGCCAAGCTCTCCTCTCAGGATGTTGCTGACGTGGACAAGCTGCGGCTGGTGATGCTGTACGCTCTGCGATATGAGCAGGACAGCCCGAGGCACCTGCAGGCGCTGATAAACAAGTTCAATGACGTGTGCCGCAACCCCAAGTACAAGGCAGGGGTGAGTTGAGTAGAGAGAGAAGGGGTAGCACGGGCTGTAGGTTCTCTGTTCGAATAGAGTTGTCGTACGAGCAGGACAGCCCGAGGCACCTTCAGGCACCGATAAACAAGTTGAATGACGTGTGCCGCAGCCCCAAGTACAAGGCGGGGGTGAGCCGGCAGGAGTGCGGGTTGCTGGGGGCCGCACTGGCTGTGTGAATGGTGCTGACTGTGTGAGCAGCGTTGACAGCCCGCGGCATCTGCAGGCGATCATAAACAAGTTCAGCGACATGTCTGGCAGCCCCAAATACAAGGCAGGGGGGAGTGGAGTCAAGTAGTGGGAGGAGGTTGAATTGAATGCGAAGGTTGCTTGGAATGCTCACGAAAAGGACAGCCCCTCGGCATCTACAGGTGCCGAGAAACAAGTAATGATGACGTGTGCCACAGCCCCAAGTACAAGGCCGGGGGTGAATTGCTAGGAGTGGTGCATTGCTGTGTGGATAACTGTAAATCGTACAACACTCCTATGGTGCTGCAAAGGAGTTGATGGGTACCTGTATGGGACACAGAGGTCACAGAAGAGGAGAGGCAGGAGAGGCAGGAGAGGCAGGAGAGGTATCAGATGGCGTTGTCTCTCCTCTTCCATCCTTCTTCTCAAGCCACCTGAACTAATCTCCGTGCTTCACACCCACCCATGGCGTTGCTTTGCAGCTCATCTATACTCTGCTGCGCCAGTTTGGGGCAAAGAGGAGGGTTGCGGACCTGTATGGCAGCACAGACCTGCACAGTGGAGCATCCCCCTCTTTCCTTCGTTCATTCTTCCTTCCTCTCGCTGTGATCCCCCCATTGCAGCTCATCTATACTCTGCTGCGCCAGTTTGGGGTCAAGAGGAGGGTTGCGGACCTCTATGGTAGCAGGGATCTGCTTAATATGGTTGCCAGGAACGTGAAGCGAGGGCTCACGGTAAGGGAATATGGGATCTGCTTATAAAGAGGATATGGGTTTTGGTTGTGGAGAGAAGAGCGGCTGATCTGTATGGCAGCAGGGATCTGCTCAACATCTGCTCAATATGGTTGCCAGGAATGTGAAGCGGGGACTCACGGTAAGCGGGTGTGGAAGCTGTTTATAGCGAGGATACGGTCTCGGTTGCTAAGGAGAAGAATGACAGAACCCTATGAGGCTATGCCCTCTCCTTTGCCATGGGTCCTCTAGGGAGTGCAGAACGTGTATAAAAGCCATCAGTCGCTGATAGGTCGAGTTGTAGATGCCCTTGGTTCCCTATACCCCTGTTGCTCCACCCTTCCCACGTTCCTACCTCCCTCTAGGGAGTCCAAATCGCATACACACAGCACCAGCAGCTGATAGCTCAGATCATAGGTGCACCCCTTCTCCGCCTCTAGGGCGTGGAAAACGTGTACACACAGCATTAGCCGCTCATAGCTCAGATCATAGATGCAGCACTGTTCCTTCCCACTGCCTCCCCTCCTTCCCTGTTCCCTAATATTTATCTTGTTCCCCCATCTTCTGCTCCTCCTCCCCCCCCCTCTAGGGTGTGGAAAATGTATACACACAGCACCAGCCGCTCATAGCTCAGATCATAGATGCGGCCACTAAAGGAAGGCTCAGCGAAGCCGACTACCCCTTTATCTCAGGCAACTTCCAGCAGTCAAGGTAAGGAGGGGGAAGACGTTTGGGAAGGCGTTTGGGAAGGGGTGAGAAGGGGTAAGAAGGGGTGAGAAGGGAAGGGGAAGCAGAGAGAGTGAGGGCACTGATGGAAGGCTGAGTGAGGACGATTACCTCTTTACTTCGGGCAACTTCCAGCAGTCAAGGTGAAGAAGAGAGAGGGAGGAAGGGTAAGTCGGGGCAAGATGCGGAAGAATGGGCGAGAAGGTGTGGGAAGGGGTGGGAAGGGAAGGGAGTAGGTGAGAGCGCAGAAGTGGGTTCCCCTCGCTATGATTGTGGCTCATATCAAGCTCGTGCCTCTAAACCCCGACTTGTCTTGCAGAACCCAGGATCTGATTGTGTTTGTGGTGGGCGGCACAACCTACGAGGAGGCACGCACAGTGGCACTGTTCAACGCGGCCAATCCTAACATCCGGGTCGTGCTGGGCGGCACAGCTCTCCTCAACTCAACCAGGTGAGCTTTGAAGTGGTGTAGCATGCTCTGTTCTGCTGGACCTCCCAAATGTATTTTAGCCTGTGGTGAGCTTCCAAGTAATGTAGCTTGTTCTTCCCAGATTCAACGCAACCAATCATAACACCTGGGTCGTGCCGGGCGGGTGAAGAACAGTGTCTCACTAGTTACGTTAAGTTATGCCGTTAGTAAGCCCATTTATCCACCCTTACCATGTTACATGTCTGCATTTCGTGTGTTGTATATGTCCATCCTTCTACATGTTTATGTGCCCGGCCCGGTCTTCCCTATGCTTGCATGTTACACAGATTCATAGAGGAAGTCTCGGAGCTTAATCATCTGGAGGCGTCTGTAGGCTTGGACTAATAATGCAAGCTTCAATAAAGGTGTACATACGTACCATACAACCCGGATGCTGTTATGGGATGTTGTGTTGAACTACCTACATGCTTTTGAAGTATGCTCGACAGAGTTACCCGTCAGAGTAACGAAGCAAGGGCATACAGGGTGTTACAGGGTTTGGTGTAGTACTCTCTAAGTGTCAAACATGTGTATTTGTCATGTTTGTATAGACTGTATAGGGTAGCCTCTTAGAGGGTACAACACTAAGGTATATCTCTGTGTACTCTCACTCTACCATCATTCACTTCACTAATTCTGATATGGTATCACGCGTAGGTTAGGATCCCCCCCCACCTACCGCTTCCGCTCGCCCCCCTAGCCCCGTCGCGACCCCCCTAGCCCCGTCGCGCCCTTCCTGGGTCCCGTCGCGCCCCTCCTGGGCCCCGTCGCGCCCCCCCTCCTGGGCCCCGTCGCGCCCCTCCTAGGCCCCGTAGCGCCCCTCCTGGGCCCCGTCACGCCCCTCCTAGGCCCCGTAGCGCCCTTCCTGGGCCCCGTCGCGCCCCTCCTGGGCTTCGTAGCGCCTCTCCTGGGCTCCGTAGCGCCCCTCCTGGGCCCCGTCGCGCCCCTCCTGGGCTCCGTAGCGCCCCTCCTGGGCCCCGTCGCGCCCCTCCTGGGCTCCGTAGCGCCCCTCCTGGGCCCCGTCGCGCCCCTCCTGGGCCCCGTAGCGCCCCTCCTGGGCCCCGTCGCGCCCCTCCTAGGCCCCGTAGCGCCCCTCCTGGGCCCCGTCGCGCCCCTCCTGGGTCCCGTAGCGCCCCTCCTGGGTTCCGTCGCGCCCCTCCTCGGCCCCGTAGTGCCCCTCCTGGGTCCCGTCGCGCCTCTCCTGGGCCCCTCCTGGGCCCTGTCGTGCCCCTCCTGGGCCCTGTACCGCCCCTCCTGGGCCTCGTAACGCCCCTCCTGGGCCCCGTAGCGCCCCTCCTGGGCCGCGTCGAGCCCCCTCCTGGGCCCCGTCACGCCTTCCGGCCCCGTCGCACCCGCCCGGCCCCGTCGCCCCAGCCCGGCCCCGTCGCGCCCGCCCGGCCCCGTCGCACTTGCCCGGCCCCGTCGCCCCCTGCCCGGCCCCGTCGCAGCCGCCCGGCCCCGTCGCACCCGTCCGGCCCCGCCGCGCCCGCCCAGCCCCGGTGCGCCCCTCCTTGGCCCCGTCGCGCCCCTCCTGGGCCACCGTCCTGCTCGCCCGGCCCCGTCGCACCGGCCCGGCCCCGTCACCCGCCCGGCCCCGTCGCACCAGCCCGGCCCCGTCGCGCCCGCCCGGCCCCGTCGCACCAGCCCGGCCCCGACGCACCCGCCCGGCCCCGTCGCAAAAGCCCGGCCCCGTCGCGCCTGCCCGGCCCCGTCGCACCCGCCCGGCCCCGTTGCACCGGCCCGGCCCCTGCGCTCGTCCCTGCCCCGGCCCCGGTCCTCCTCACTGGTACGGTTCTTCCCCCCCCCCCCCCCCGCCCTGCACTGCCCTGCACCGTACTGCCCCGCACTGCACCGCCCTGCACCACACTGTACTGCCTGGCACCGCACTGCACCGCACTGTACCGCACAGCACCGCACTCCACCTTGCTACACTGCCCTGCACCGCACTGCACTGTACCTGATGGCGGCGGAGCTTCGCTTCGACGCTGAAGGTCAGCCTCTGGAGTTCGAGGCGTGGCTTGCCGACCTCCGGCGCCAACTCACTGGCCAGCGGCAGGATGGTGAGCCGCTGTCCGCACACCTTGACGGTACGCTCCCCTGCCCAGACCCCCCTGCTATTTTGCCCGCTGACTCCACCCCCACTGAGCGCGAGTCTACTGCTGCCACTGCCCGTGCGCGCTCTGTCTGGCTTTCTCGCGATGCTGTTGCCCAGCTTGCCATTAGCAACGCCCTTCCCCCGTCCGAGCGCCCTCGCTTTAGGTCCCTCACTACTGCTCACGCATACTTAGATGCTGTCATCAAGCGCTATTCCACCCCTCCGGCTGCCTCGGTAGGTCGCTTGATCCTCCCGCTGCTCTTTCCTGACCTTGCATCTTTCCCCACTGTCTCTGACCTCGCTGCCCACCTGCGCTCGATAGATGAGACCTGGCGCGCTGCCTGCACTGACGCACAGCTTAGAGCCCACCAGCCGCCCATGACCTCTACCCTTTACCTGCTTGCCACCCGCCTCCCTGACCGCCTTGCTGTCGCCCGCGACCGCTTCCTTAGCGTTCACCCCGCAGACCTCACCCTCACTGACTTTGTAGACACCCTAACTGTGATAGAGACCCGTCACCGCTCCATCGCCCAGGCGAGCGGTGTCGTGCCGGTCCCTATCTTTCACGGTTGTGCCCCCGCTCAGTGTACCTTCTCCGACGGCTCTGCCGCAGTGGCTGAGACTGCTGCTGCAGCGCAGTTTCGTTCGGGGAAGGGCCGCCGCCCCAAGGTTGGGCGCGGCGGAGGCGGCGGCGGGGGTGCGGGAGGAGGTAGTGGTGGGGTTTGGGTCGTCTGGTGCTGGAGCGGACGAGGGGACCCAGCCCAGTCCAGCTGAGCCGCCGCCCCTGCAGTTGCAGCAGCCGCAGCAGCCGCCGCAGTCGCAGCCTTCGCAGCAGCCGCAGCAGCCGTCGCAGCCACGGCCGACGAGTGTCCTCCCGCCCGGGTGGCCCGGCGCTGGCGGTGGCCGAGCGCGTGGTGGTGTGCCGAGTGGTGGCTCTGGCGGCGGGCGTTGTCAGTACCAGATCCAGACCGGTCCTCGCCGCGGCTTCGTTTGCGGTAAGATCAGTCACTCCACTCCCCGCTGTTTTCGTCGCCTGGACGACCTCTTTCGTCAGCGCTTCGGCCCGTCGCCAGACCTCCCGGACTGGCACAGTTTGCTTAGTCGTAAGATTCAGATTTTTGATATGGACATGGATGCCATTGTTTCTGCTCTGCATGTGATGTATGCTGATGACTCTAGTGTGCTTCCCACTTATTACTCACTGTTGCCTAGTGTAGGTGTGCCTAGCTTACCCTCCCCTGCTGCGTCAGGCGTAGGATCCCCTGCTTTGTGTAGTCTTGGTGCTTCCGCCGTCGTTCCGTCGCCAGACGCCTCTGCTTTGCTTTCCTTCACCTTGGACTCTGGCGCTTCTCGGTGTTTCTTCCGCGACTCCACCACCCTGACGCCGCTTCCTGTTCCTGCTGCCGTTTCTCTTGCTGACCCCTCTGGTGGTCCGGTAGTCGCCCGCAGTTCCACCACCCTCCCCTGTCCGGCGGTTCCTTCGGGCTCTCTCACAGGTCTGCATATCCCCTCGTTCTCCAGGAACCTAATTGGTGTCGGCTGCCTCCAGGACCTTGGCGTCACCACTACGTTCCCTGGTCACGAGCGGTATGCTGTCTGTACCGAGGCCGCCACTGGTGCCCCCCTATCCACGTTCCCCCGGGACCCGGTGTCCGGCCTTTTCACTCTGGACACCGTGACCCCCCCGGCTGGGGCGCCCCCTCAGGTGGCTGCGTCTACCCAGGTTGCTGCTGCCTGCTCCTGTCGGTCCCTCACTCACCCGACTCTCCTTTGGCACCACCGCCTAGGTCACCCTGCGCTCCCGCGTCTGCGTCACATGTCCCAGCACGGTCTTGTCCTTGGTCTCCCAGGTTCTCTCCCCGCGTTTCCCTCCTCCCCCGCCCCCCCTTGCACGCCTTGTGTCGAGGGTCGGCTTCGCCGTGCCCCTCACTCCTCCTCGTTTCCCCCTACCGCCGCGCCGCTGCAGACCCTGCACCTGGACGTCTGGGGCCCCGCCCCCGTCCCTGGGCCGCGTCGAGAGCGCTACTTCCTTGTGCTTGTCGACGACTTCACTCGTTACACCACAGTCTTTCCCCTGGAGCGCAAGGCCGACGTGCCTAGCGCTCTCATCCCCTAGCTTGTCTCTGCGCGTGTCCACCGCGGTCTCCCTGTCTTGCGTCTTCACTCAGACCGTGGTGGCGAGTTTGCCTCAGGTGTCCTTGGTCGCTTTTGTCGTGCGGAGGGCATCACCCAGACGTTCACCCTACCGGACTCCCCACAGCAGAATGGGGTCGCTGAGCGACGCATCGGTTTGGTCATGGAGGTGGCTCGCACCTCCATGATCCATGCCGGTGCACCCCATTTTCTGTGGCCGTTCGCTGTGCGCTACGCTTCTCACCAGCTTAACTTGTGGCCGCACCCTCAGCAGCCGCAGGTTTCGCCGACCCGTCTTTGGACTGGGTCTCCTGGTGACGCGTCTGCGTTCCACGTCTGGGGCTGCCTTGCTCACGTCCGTGCCTCCGGCACGGACAAGCTCACTGCCCGCACCCTTCCCTGCATCTTCCTCGGTTTTCCCCTTGACGCGTCCGACTGGCACTTTTACCATCCGCCGTCTCACCGCTTCTTTCACTCTCGCGACGTCACCTTTGACGAGTCCGTTTCCTACTACCGTCGCTTCCCCCACCGTGGTCCCCCGGTTACCCCCCCCCTGTTCCTGGTCACTCCTTCCCCGGTAGTCCCTGCCCCTCCTCCTCCTCCTCCCCGTCCCGACCCCTCTGGTGTGTCCCACGCCACCCCCCTTCCGTCGGTGAATCCGGTTGAGGAGTCCTCTGACTCTGGTGGCCCTCCGGTGCAGTCCTCGCCGGCCGCCCCTCCCCTGGCGTCCCCTCCCCAGTCCCCTCCTTCACCGCCTCTGCCGCCGCTGCAGCCGTCGTTGTCGCTGCCGCCGCCGCCGCCGCCGTCGCAGCCCCCGTTCGCTGACTCTGGGGGTGCTCGTCCCGGTCGCCCTGGGGGTGGCCCCTCTGGGGGTGCTGGTGTGGAGAGTGCCGGTGGTAGCCGAGGAGCAGCTTGCGGTCCAGGTGTCGCCGTTGTGCCGCCGCAGCAGCAGTCCCCGCCGGTGTCAGCCCTTCGCCTGCTCGGCCTTCCGTCCCCCAACCCTACGTCGGTCCCTCCCCAACCCCCTCCTCCTCTTCCTGTCTACGGCCCTGTTTTCCCCCCGCCGGACTCGTCCCCGGCCCGTCTCCCCCCTCGTTCCCCTCCTGTGTCCCCTCCCCTGTCTCCTGATCCGACTCCTCCGTCGCACGTCTGGTCTCACCGTCCCTCTCATGCTCGTCCTGCCTCGCCTGTCTTGCGCTCCCACCCTATGTTGCTTCGTTCCCACGCGTCTCGCCCTCCCCTTCTGCCGTCGCCTCCTCCGTCCTCCCTTGTTGTTGCACCCCCCCCGCTGTCTGACTACCTTCGTGCCGCTCGTCCCCTCGTTCCTCGGGTCCTTGCCTCTCTCGTTACCGACCCGTCTGTTCCGGCCTCGTGCCTTGACGCTCTTGTCGCTGCTGTCGCTGAC